TTAACAATTCTCTCATATTTTTCCCTGAGAATTTTTGTTCCATGTGGAAAAAATTTCTTTAATAATATACTGAAAGTATTTTTTTTTCATCTATCATATTTAGTTCATTTTAAATTAATACACTTAATTAAATATTATAAAGCTGTAATAAAATTAGGAAGAGATTTTTTCTGAATGAAGTAATTTGAATTCAAAGAAGCTATAAGCTATAACTTTTTTCCTTTTTTCTTAAAAATAGCATAGAAATAATTAATATATGTTTGTTAATGACGTAAAATGAATAAATAATTGTTATTTGTGAGCTTTCATCAATTAAATTAAATAAAAAGTAATTGGTAAGTAATAGAATTGATAATGCAAAAAAGCTAACATACGGAAAATGTATCCAGTGACTTTCCTGTTTGTTCATAGGATTTCAATAAATTTGTAAATTTGTCATTTTCATTTGTTACATTTTTTAATGTAGAAGCATTTTTTATGGTAATATTTGACCTTTGCTAAAATGATATAATTTTTTCCATTATGTAAAATTTCCATTCTTTTCTAATTTTTTTTTCTTTAAAGAGAAGAAAAAATATTTTGTTCGAACTTTTTGTTTTAGCAAACAAAAAAATATTGTAATAAATGATGGATGCTAGATTAAAAAGGTATTAATAATAATTTAATAATAATAACAATAGTAAATAATAATAATTAATAATAGTAACAATAATAATATTGATTTTAATAATATTATTCAATTAATAATAATGTTAAGAATTAAATTAATAACTTGATATTAATTTATTAATAATGATATTAATAATAATAGAAATCACAGTTACAATTACAACTATAACAGTAATCAATACCGAATAATTTAGCGTATCAAATATTGGATAATTGATTGATATCAGAGTGATAATATTTAAAACAACCATCAGTCAATAAATTAATTTTCTTTTGTTCTTCGTTTAAATTTTTATTTTCGCTCTTTTGCTATTAATAAATTTTAATATTTATATTTGATTTTGATGATAAATATGCAAATATTTCGTTAGTGTTTGATTAATTTTGCTAATAACAATTTATATATAAAAATTAAAAAAAATAGGAATAGAACAAATAAAAAATAATAGGAATAGAAAAGATAAAACGATAAAATGATAAAATGATGGAAGAGATAAAATGATAAGAGTATTATGAACTTTTCTAAGACTAACAAATTTGATCAATAAAACTTAAAATAATCTATGAAAGAGTGAAAATTGTGAATATTTGATGAATAAATAACTTTTTTTTTTTTTTCAATCTATTTATTATTACTATGATTAAATGATAGAGGAATCCATTTAGATCAATGCAAGTGATATATGATATGATTAGAATATGAATACGCTTGAGAAGAGAGAAGGTGACATCCTCCTAACTGTCAACTTAGAATATGAATACTACAAATCGTTTGAGATGAGAGAAGGTGACATCCTCCTAACTGTCAACTTAGAATATGAATACTACAAATCGTTTGAGATGAGAGAAGGTGACATCCTCCTAATTATCAACCTTTTTCAGACACTCTCATAAACATAAAGCAAGAAGATATGAGATATGGGGTATGTCTTTTGTCTGTCTCTGTATATATGTTTATGCATATAATATTTATATATAAATATATATATGTGTATGTGTATGTATGTATGTGTATGTATGTATATGTATGTATGTGTGTATGTGTGTATGTGTGCTGTAGCAATTGTTTATTTTAGTTGATTTGAGTAGAATTCACTATGGTCTGGTTGCTATCATCACAACGATCTTTTCCTGTTGTCCTATTTTTCATATTTCCGATTTCTTTGATGGTTGGTTAGGGGAGCACTTATTATTGATGAAGCATAGCATCGACATTATCCGATAACAGCTATAGGCTTAAGGCTGCTTTCCTAAACAAGTAAATAGCCAATATAACTCATGGCCAAATCGATTAGTCCTTATAGACTGAGCAAATAATTGATTTTTGTTTATTGGGCTTTTTTGGAATATAAAATATAATAAGCTAAGAAGATATATGAAATAAAAAATCGATTTGTTAGACTTTTTAGAATATGAAAATGAAGCGATGAATAAAGTGAGAGTGTTACAATGAAAAATTAATTTTGTTTAGGCAAAATATGTCTAGTGATAGTATTAAACTATTAAAGTATGTTTGAGTAAAAGAAAAAAATCGATTTGTTAAGCCTAGGTGACATTTTTTTTTTACTTTTTATTGAAATCTCATAATACTATCTAAATGATGAAAATGAAAATGAATTAAGTGTATTTAAGATTTTGATCAATTTGAACTAACAATTATTGAATAAGGCAAAAAAGTGGTGGGGAGAGGAGATGGAGAGGGAGCAGGGGAGAGGAGAGAAGAAGAAAATGTTTAGATTTCTTCGTTTTCTTATTTTTCGGTTTTTTTTTTCTTTTTTTCAATTTTTATTAATTTCTCATACACTGATTGTTTATAAAAATTGTCCTCTAATGAAAATGTCAATAGAAGAATGTGTCTGAGAAAATTGGAGAAAAAATAATTAAAATTCATTTATTACACAACATTTTTTTTTTTTTTTAAGTAAAAATTGAATTATTCCTTGAAAATTGCATTTTTATATAACAAATCTTTTTTTTTTTGGTTTAAATAACCAAATAAATTTGAGAAATGAAAATATTTTGCTTATATGTAACAATAACCCATATCATCTTATAATCATCATAACAAATATCATCGTATCTTTGTTTTAATTAATTATTTTATTCAAACGAGAAAAGTCACTTTTTTGAATTTTTCATTTTAAAAGATACATTAATAGTTTATTTATGGATGATATTTTATTTTATTTTTTTGTGTACAAAAAATTTTTGTTTAATTCATAGAAGGTAAACAATAAATTAACGAAATAAATTGATCAAAAAAAAACTGTCATATAAATAATACCATTTATGCTCAGTTCTGTTGTTACTGTCATTAATACTATTATTATTATTTATTTATTTAATTTAATTTATTTAATTTTATATTATTCTCATTATTATCATCATCATTATCATTATATTATTGAATTAAGTATTATTACTGATTGTAATAAATATTAATTGTTATTTTAATTTATTTTTAAACATGGAATAACATTTATTTATTTTATAATTTAATGCATTTATTACATACTGCAATCATTAATAATATCACATTAATAATAAATAGCCATTGGTTAGCTATTATAAATGAAAGGATGGAAAATTATTCTTAAACTGAAAAAATTATTCATAAACATAAATAATTTGTTATTTTTAAGAAAATTTATGTTTGCCTTTATGCCTTTATTTTCTTCATAATAATTCATTTATATTTAATATTTCAAAAAATTTTACGATAAAATTAAGTTAATTAACATAGGATTAAATTTATGTTTCTATTTTAATTAAAATTTATTGTAAATGTGCCATATTTATTCTCTTAATAACATATAATGGACAAAAATGCAATATTTTATAATTTGATGTGAATTATTGTTTTATACAGGAAACTTTCATTTTATTATTTAATTACCAAAAACCAAAACAAACAAACAAATAATGAATTTCCTTCGTTGTACAACTGTTTAATATTTTATTGAGTTTTTCGTTTTATTTCTTTTTTCCTTTCTTTTTTTGCATTTTTATATTTTTATATATTTTGCGTAAATATTTGATGCCATAAGTTTTAAAAATTAGTTCCAGTTACTAGCTATTTCAGTTACTAATTATTATTCGATCATTTTTCAGATTTACAATCTTAAGTATTAATCATTTTTTTTTCATATTTTTCAGTAATTGCTATTTTTGCAATAGAAATTTAATACATATTGAAATTTCTATGCATCATCTTATAGCTATCTTTTCTTACTTTTTTGAAAAAATTATTTAATTTTATTTTCTTGAATAAATGCAGTTAATAATCATTTGATACTAATATACAATATAATAATTTTTAATATTAATAATTACTGTTGGTATAATTATTGATTTCATTTTTTTTTTTTTTTAAACAAATTATTCCATCAATTTTATCACTTAATGTTATTCAACATTACAATTTGATAATACAGTGATAATTTTTCCTAATTCATTAAAATATTCCGTTTTTTCTTTTCCATTTCTTATTTTTTCAATAAATTATTCCTATTAACTTTTTATTTTTCTTTCCCATCTCTCCCTCTCTTTTTTTTCGTAACTACTAATATTTGAATTTAGCATTTAAAATTACAACTAAAACAGTTATTACATCTTTTCTTTCTTTCTTTCTTTTCTTTTTTTAATTTTTGATTTAAATGATAAAAATTTATTCCAAATGAATAAATTAAATATGAAAATTAATTCAAAAATTTTAATTTAATTATATATTTTCAGGTACAAATGTAATGATCAAATACAAATTAGTAATATATACGTATTTATGTATACAATTACATTATATATATATATATGTTATATGAATGTTGATGACATCATGAAATTTAATTGAAACGGTCACTGAATAATTCGATCTCTCTCTCTCTCTCTCTCTCTCTCTCCCTCTTTTTTTTTTTATTTCTGCTGTCACCTTGTTTTCTTCCTCTTCTTCTTCTTCTTCATTGTCATCTTTTTCATTTTCTTCATTGTCATCTTCATTTTCATCTAAATGATGAAAATTATAAAAAGTCATCTATTCATTTGTTAATTTCAACATTTGTGTATGTGTGGAACAATTGACGTCACTAATACTACAATTAATTATTCATTTAATTATTTGCTATAACCTAAATACTATTATAATAGAATTGATTATTTATTTGCTACTACAATAATTTTTATTCATTAAATATTGCTATCATTCTTCGTTTTTTTTTTTTTGTTTTTGTTTTTGTTTAATTTCTAATGCCATAAATGATAAATGGTAGCAATTAATAATACAAAAGAAATATTAAGTATTACTATTATTTACTATCATTACTGGTTGTATTATTATGGTTGATATTTTTAATGATTATTGTATACAATTAATTAATAAATCTACACCAAAACAACAACAACAACAACAGCAACAACGTCGAAAGGAGGAAGAAGAAGAATATGAAATTAATTTTCATATTAATTCTTTTTTAATTATTATTTATCCAAATTTGAATATATTATTATGGTTGATATTTTCAACAATAATTTTAACAACAAATGCTGCTCTATGTTCATATAAGGTATTTAAAGATTTTTTTTTACTTTATCAATAATAATATTAATTATGAATTTTTTTTTTCTTCTTTTTTCAAATTTTTAAGGGAAAAAAAAAGAAACAATTAGTTAATATTATTAGAGCGGAAATAATGAGAATTTATTTTAGAAGCTTAGATTAATTAATCCTATAATTAATCAAATGAGAATTATGATTGATGAGAGTGTAATTAATGTTTAATCAAAAATTAACTATTGATTATAGGCTAAATTAAAATATTACTGAGTATTTTCAAAATGTAAATGTTATTATTATAATTATTATTTGCTTTTTTTTTTTTTTTGTTAGGTACCAAGTGTCAATGATATTATTTTTGATGTACCGCTTGATGTTGATTTTATGGAAAATAATACGAAAAATGATGGTGATGGAAGTGTTCGGAAGATACGTAACGTAAATAACGTGAATAACGTAAATAATGATTTCTTCCAACCATTAAGAATTCATCTTCATTATGATAAAATTAGCATTGACAAGTAAGTTATACTAATAATCTTAATAATGAATATTTGTTAATTTTCAAATTATCCGAGAATTGATATCTTATCAAAATTCTTTTATAATTGTTCTATAGAATGAATCATTGAGTTAATTACATTCTGTTAGAATTAATTATGATTTATTATCTAACTAACATATGTCTGTCTGTTTATAATTTGTTTTTAAAATTTTCGAAAATATTTTTTATTACTCAGTAATATTTAATATTTTTGAAAAGTTTAACACGAAGCAATTTACATCAATTTTTTGTTTCATATTTTCAAATTCAATGTGTGTAATTTGAAATGCGTAGAAGGCAAATGAATCGATTCTTTTAAGCTAATTTACTATTTAAAAAAAAAAAAAAAAAAAAGAAATTTACTGGCTGATTACTTCATTTAAGCAAAAATTGAAATGAATAAAAGAAAAACAAAAAGAAGAAAAGAATTCATTATTTCAAATCATTAGATTGTTTCTTATTTCAGATTAACAACAAACATACAATTATTTGTAAATGTAAGTTTCAAAATTAATTCAATAATTGCTATTTAGGCTTTTTTTTTGTTACTTTTTACCTTTTATTACTTGTTACCTTAACTTTTATTACTTTATTGTTGTTAAGTTAAGACATCTTTTTAGTAACTTTTTTTTTCTGAATCTTTCTCAAATCGAAATTACAAAAATGCGTAGATTTTTTTTTTTTTTTCATTAATGTCAATTTTGATGAATGCAAAGATAACAATTCAAATTTGAAAATTTAAAAAGTTTTATTGTATAGCATTGAAAGAACATACATTATTTTTTCTTTTGCAACTATACAAATTAACAAATTTACACTTTTTTAAAATTTTAAATGTTAAGAAAATGTCAAAATAACTTTTTTTCTTTCTCCTTCACTTAACTATCGAAAGATTTCACTTAACTTTTTTTCTTTTTTTTTAATTTTCTGTAATAGCATTATGCCTGTTCCATACCATTAAGATAGTTTTTAATCGATCTATCATTTTTAAGATAAAATCTTGAAAGAATTCAAGTAATAAATTGAAATTTGTGAGTTTCAGTTATTTGGGTAAGAATCATTTACCATCCTTTCGTCCTTCTTTGCCCTCATTTTGTGCGGTCTTTTTTTCAGTAATGAAAAATTTATGCTCTCAAATACAAATGAGAGAAAAAAAAGGGTCATTTAGTAGAATTTTATGTTTCTAAAAAAAAAAAAAAAAAAAAGAATTAGAGTTTGTTTTTGTAATTAATTATTTGTGGAGATATTATCAAAATATTAAATTTTGCATGCTGTAATCGATCTATGCTTTATTATCTCTTTTCATTTATACATTTATTTGTTTATTTATTTACTTATACTAATATATTTTCTTACTAAAAGTAAAATATTTTGATTGTTAATTAAGAAAATTTCTTAGTTATTATAAGTTTAACAATATTAATATATTGTTAATAATAAAAGATAGAGATAAAATAGTGTAATATTTTTTGAGTTATAGTTGAAATAAATTTTCAGGTATTTGTTTACAATATAATTAATTATTTTAGCATAAATTTATTTTGCAGACATCATTATTACCGGAAGCAGTGAATTACTGGCAAACTGCATTAGCAGTACGTCCGGCAGCAATACCAATACGACTTAATAGGTAGATTATTTTATTTCATTTTTTTTTTTGAGGTACTTAGTAGGAATACTGTAATCTGAAAAAAAAAAACTGAAATTAACTTAACTTTGTTTCAGAATAACTTCCGACATATAAATATTTGTGAATGTATTCATTAATTTAAATTTAAAATTAAATGAAATAAACAATTAAATTTGAAATAGAGAATGAAAAAAAAAGAGAGGATGAATTATACTATTTATAATTTTCTTTTATTTTCCTATTGGAGATTTTTTTCTTTTTTTTTTTGTTTGTTCCAATGAATATTTTATTGAATTCAAAAACTTATGAAGAATTAAAAAAAAAAAAATGACAGTTTTTATCATCATTATATATAAAAAATAAAATACAACAAAAGTATATCTCATATTTTTAATATACTCTGATATTAAATTAAAAATTTTGTAAAAGTTTAGTACGGACAACTAAAATTGTTTAATTAAAAGGAAAAAAAAGAAGTGAGACAGAATGGTAATCAAATTAGAAATGAAAAAGAAAACGAAATTGTTTGAGGATTAGAATTAATTAAAATGAGTGTTTTGCAATTAAAAGTTTTGTTTCAGAATGAAATTTTTCTTTTTTTTTTAATTTTCAGAAAATGTGTATCAAATTTATATTATATGCGTACTTATGAGAAACGACAATCATGTGTGCTAGGCTGTAAAAATGAGACAAGTTGTGGTGAAGTGATCATTCCAGATGAACATTTATATGTTAGTTGATAAGACTTGATTATAATTAATTTTAAATACAAGTAAAAGCTTTTGTTAATAAGATTTGATTATGATTAATGCAACAAGGCTTTCTATTGATAAGATTTGATTATGATTAATTTTAAATACAGTATTTCTTCTCATCTGTATCATTAAAATAGGAATGTTCATAATTATTTGAAAAGACAGTTGTATTAATTGATCGTTTAATGTGAAAGTTTATATTGCATAATCCATTTACTAATTGTTTCTCCCATTTGCTTATTTGTCTCTTTTTTTTTATATTATATAATCCATTTACTAATTTAATTACTTCTCTAATTTCATTTATTTGTTTATTATCATTTTTTTTTCTTTCATTTTGATAAGAAAACAATATATTACAATTTCGAAAATGATTTTTGAGATTTTAGCACATAAATTTAATTAAATTAATTATAATATATTTTATAGTGGTTATTATTTCTAGCAATGTCGTTATTGCACATCACCAGAATCTCGAAATTGTGGTATTATTGGACCTCCCGATGGAATTGGTATACCAAATACTGATTTTCTCCTTTATGTTTCAGCGGTACTATCACAACGTTGTAAAAATATTGATACAGTAGCATATGCAGCACATTGTCAACAAGAAGCTGACCTTGATAGGTCATTTTGCTTTTTTGTCAACTAAATTTAAATGATTTAATAAATGTCTCTATATATATATAGCAGTAGAAAATCTAAATTTCAAGATGAAACGAGTAAGATAAATTAAAATAAGAGTACAAAAATTTTTCAAATTTATATAATTATTTCAACTAATTTTAAGCAATAAAAATTTGATATACTATTAATGCTAAATTATTTGATTATATTAAACTGTTTATTCAATATAACTATCCAATTTCTATTTTCAGTGATTTATTAAAAGAATTTTTAAAATTATAGACCAATTGCTGGACATGTTAATTTATGTCCAAATGCGCTTTCAACTGCATTACACGATCGTGAAGTATTACTTTCAACGGTAAAACATGAAATTTTACATGCATTAGGATTTTCTGCTGGATTATATGCATTCTTTCGTGATGATAATGGCAAACCACGAACACAACGAAATCGTTACAATAAACCAATTTCGTTGAATAAAGATCGCGGATACTACAACTGGGACTCGAATACCATTCAAACAATTATACGGAATGATTGGTGGACAGCAGAAGGAATGGTAAAAAGATAAAAGTTAAAAAAAAAAATAAAAATAAAGTTTGAGACTATAAAATTGCATAATGGTATAGTGTTATTATGACAATATGGACCATAACTGTAAAGGGTTGGCAGTGATTAATTAATTAGTTAATTGATTGATTAATTAGTTGCTAACATATACTTATAATATTCTCAAGTGAATAAGACTTTTTTTTTTTTTAAAATAGATATCACATCCAGTACACATAATGGTGACTCCACGTGTACAACAAGAAGCTCGACGACATTTTAATTGTTCAGATTTGGAAGGAGCTGAGTTAGAGAATCAGGGTGGTGATGGTACTGCTTTTACACACTGGGAAAAGCGCCTTTTTGAAGTAAATTTATAGATATGAAATATTATGCATATTTGAAGTATGAATTAGAAAAAAAATTCCAGAATTAAGATTCTTTTCATATTGTTTTTGTTTGTAACAGGCAATTAGATGAAATTTTTTTATGTTTAGTATTTTAAATGTTTTGTATGCTTTAAACTTTATTTTATGCTCTAAAATTTTTAAATTTTTTTGATCATTTTTCAATGTAATTCCTTCATTTTTATTAACATTTTATTGCACAGTCAAATTATTATTTTGTAATTTGAACACTTGCTCAGTTTTTAAAAAGAAGTTATTCAGAAAAAAAAGCTATTCAAATTCTTAATTTTGGATATCAACCTGCAGATGTAATAATGCTTAAAATTGTCTAACTTGCAGAAGTAATTCTAATTGACGTTTCAGAATGAAGCAATGACGGGTACTCATACGCAAAATCCGGTATACTCTCGGTTGACATTTGCATTATTAGAGGATAGTGGGTGGTACAAAGCAAATTACAGGTTAAATTTTGTTTGGTTGAAATAGCAATACAGATTGGTGACTAATGTATAATGAGAATTTAGGATCGTATTTGGAAATTTTGTAATAGTTTTAATGCACTCAAGTCTTTTTATCCTTTGGTATCGGGAATTTTCTTAAATATTTGATCTCAAGTCAGAAACTTTAAAACTCATACGTATCATTCATCACTTGACTACTTTTTTGTAAGCATACAAATATTTTTAGTAGATTCGTCGATATGATGTAAGGAAGCATAAAAAATTTGGAAATGAAAATCAATTATTTTAGTGCAGCTGAAGAACTTCATTGGGGTCATTATCTTGGTTGTGAGTTTGCAAGAAAAAGCTGTGGTGAATGGATCCGAAATCGACAAGAAAAGTGAGTCTTTCGAATGAGAAACACCGTTTATTTCGCACTCCTTTGATAGTTATTTCTTTATTAAGAACGAAACTTTCCCCAAGAAATTCATGATCCCAACAGTAATCTTAGAATTTACCTGTTAGCTCCTTGTTATTGATTAAGTTTCTTGTGAAGTTCGTGATGCTTCATTTTTATCATTCTTAAAAAGAAATGGATTTTTTTACTTTTCTATTTTTAAGGAATGAGAGGGGAAACTGAAGCACACAGTTCCATCTCCTTCGTTTTCTCATTCCCTTCGTTACAGTGCTTAACTATAATTTTCAGAATATTCAGCTTGATTTTTAGGTTCCATTTTAAAAGAATCAAGAATCGTTTTGATACAGCAACCATTAGTAAAAACAAGTTATAGAGATAAAGCTTGCAAATAAATCAAAATAGGAGCCTAAGATTCTAGAGAAGAATATCCGCGAGAATCTCGATCACCAAAATTAATAAAAATTAACTAGCCTATACGAATAAAGGATATTATGAAAAAAATAAATTTTGTTTTCAGAAATTTTTTACTTCCAGAGATCTTTTGTTAGCACCTTTTTGCGACGAAATTAAACATGATGGGAAGCGTTCACTTGCAACAGCACGATGTACAGCACAACGAGATTCGTTAGCTTTATGTAATTTGGTATGTTTATTTTGTTTGCCATCAACGACCAGTTAGTTTTTAGCTAAAGTGCGATTTATTTCTTTAGTAATTAGTATATGAGATTTATCAAGTGAAGATCATATATCATAAAAGTAATACCGATATCAAATTTTTAATGAATCATTTCAATTATTGGAGATTCCAATTTCAGATACCCTACCAAAATCCGCTTCCAACGGAATATCGTAATTTCGCTTCTTTGAATGGAGTGAAAAATAAGGATGCTATATATTACGGTGGATCCGTAGAGCTTGCCGATTATTGTCCATATAACCAGGTTTGCTTACATAATTTTTTTTTTGTTTATTATTTGAGATTATTATCAAGTGAAGATCATTTATCGTAAAAGTAATTTCCTCTGAAAAACATTTAAAATTTTGCAAGGAATTGATCACTTGTGTTAAAAGCAATACAAGGTTTTTTATCTCTTAAAAAAATCTGAATTAGGAGTGATTAAGGTAGCTTCATATATATGTTCGGGAATATTTACCACAGCATGCTAAATTATGAAATTAAACATCTTCAATTTCTTATTGTTTATTCAAATGATAACTTTGTGGTTTCCTTACTCACTAAATAATCAAATAATAAAATTACAATTAGTTCATGTTATTCCAATGAATTCTACATAGGAGTTTGAATGGAAGGCACCAAATTCATCGCAACGTCGTGATAGTCGGTGTGAATTGGATGGGAATTTTACACCTAATCAAGCAAATTCAATATTGGAAGTATATGGCAATCAGTCAAAATGTTTCGATTTAGCAACATTTTGGACTGAGCGAAAATGTGGTCGTATTAGGACTTTTCTTCAGTATAAAGCTGGATGCTATCAGGTTTTTATTTTTCATGCATTCCTAGCAAAGTTGGAGATTTTGATTTCTCCTTGATTGCTTAAAATCCAAATTCAGTAGTACGAATGAAACTGGTAGGATTTAAAATATTTAGATTGATTATTGCATCCAGACTATTTTATGTTGTTATTTTTTATATTATACTTCAGTATGAATGCAGCGAAGGTCGTTTGAATATTGGTTTGTTCAATGAAAGTTTTTTCTATCCTTGTTATTTTACCGGGCAGTATGTCTACATTCGAAAGGTTCTTTTTCACAAAAGTATTAAATTAATACATTATTATTTTTTTCTCACTCAGGCCAAATATTTAAATTTTGTTTTTATTTTTAGTATTTAAGTCCATCAGTACTTTTTAAGAAGTTCTCTCTTGTTTTTGTTTTGTGCGTACGGTTTGCAATGTAATGGCTACTTTTTCATATTATTCTTCATCGCAACCTTAAAACAGGTGGAGAATGGTCTAAAAGAATTTTATTTCCTTCTTTCGAACTAATATTGCATTCTCTTAAATTAATTAGTGAAGTTTTCTTTTTTACTCGCTTGCTACTTGCAGGTCATAAATGGTTGGCTACGTGAAGGTGTGATCATTTGTCCACCATGTGAAGAGATTTGCCATTCAGAGCATTTCTCAGTTGATGACAAATTCGGTTACTGCCAGGAAACAAACAAAGATAACATTCCGGAATATGTAGGAGATTTATGGTTAGATGAACCTTGCGCAGCATCTACTTCTTTTTGTAACTTAATTTTTTTTCTTTTCATTTTTCTTATACAGTTTTCTTATAATTTCGGGTATTCTGCGTGATTTGTTCATCATACATTCCTTTAATAAAAGTAGGTGAAAATAAGATGTAATTGTATCATTTCTGTAGCGTTGAAACTGAAACATTCAGAAAATAATCTCTGTAAGTAATATAACAAATACAAAGAAAATTGAGTTCTTGTTATTTTTTCACTGGAAAAAAAAAAAAACTAAATGAAATTTGATTATTTGCATGTTTAATTGTTAAGTGAAGATTCTTTGTGTTTATCTCAAGAACGGTTTTCATTTGTTTCTTATATGTTATCTGTCCAACGAATTTGTATTTGATGATTTTCATTTGTTGCTGTTCGTTTGATTTGCTATGCTTTTTTTTGCTTGTAGAAATGATATTGTGCTAGTATTCTTCATCTGTTTATTTATATTTTGATTTTATTTGTCATACGGTATGTGATTTTAAATTATATCGAGTTGGCAGTAATATTGGTTAAGTTGTAATTTTCTGCAGACTTTTCTTTTGTTAACAAACTTTGAAATTTAAAAAATATGTCATAATTGTTAAAGCGGCTGTGATAGATGTTAGTATATTTCTTTTCCTTGCATTATTTTATTTTATATCAGAGTTGCTACTGTGATAAAAGCTTTAAATTGAAATTTATACAAGACTTTTCAGCGTTTGCAATTCATGAAAGTTACATTTCCCGATGTGGATATTTCCTTTCATGTTTTGCTTTGTGACGAAGGTTCATAATTTAAACTCAGTAAACAAAGTTAAAGTAATTATTTCAAACATCGATACCCTTCAAATTCTTATTGTCCAATATATTCACAAAATAGCTGTTTGGTGTGGAAAAAAAAGGAAATGCTGTTAAGGGAAGTTGTATTTGGCAACGAATATAAATGTTTTTAAAGTGATATTTTACTAATTTTGTTTACATTTATGTATATGAAATTGAATGAGGTAGCATGTTTTAGATTGCAGTGATGACAATATCTTTTTGTTCTATAAGACATAAAAGTTTAAATTATAATTTGTAGGGAATAATTTGAAATGAAGAAAATGAGTACTATTGATGACGCCGTTATTTGGGGCAAACGAAGTGTAGATCCATGGCATCGGATGACTTGTTGTCCGGAGGCTGTTTTCACTGTAATTGAATTTTGCCAGGTTATTCTTTTGAAAATATTTTTTGAATAGTAAATAAAAGTATGCTATGCATAATTAGTGTTATGCTAGCTATGTCTGCAAATTTTTTATTGCTGCCCGGAAAAGTTTTTCATTTCCCTCTCATACTCTAATTTTTATTTTATAAATATTTCACCAATTTCATGAAGTTGAGATTGAAAATTCAATTCTTACAACAGTCTTTGTATTTTTTTTTCTTGTTTTTGTTTTTTTTGTTGTGAATAGAATTAATTAAAAGATGTATCCGATTTGCTGACTGTTATTTGGATTAAGATAAGTTTTCAGGTACTAAGTTTCATTTTATTTTGTTTTTTTTTTTGTACCCTGAGATTTAATATAATAGAAAATTCATCATTTATAATTCCAGAACGACGAGTATAATGCTGTTAGAAAACAGTGGTACCAGAAAAAAAAATTTAAGAAAATTTTGGAATTTATATAAACCAAAAAATGAAGTTTTTAATACTCTGTAAGACTTTGAAATTCAAATTTTTTCGCAATTCATTAAAAAGTACATGTCTGAAAATATAGTTTATTTGTTTTCGTTGCTTTTCTAGGCACAAGGCCCACGACCATTATACTCATATCCTGCTCATCTTCATAATCCACACCTTGACATGGACAATGTTGCTCTTTGGTTGATGAGTGCTGAAGTTATTAATGGTTCTAGTATGATAGTTTACAATCAACAAATGGCTGTTTACGCATGCGTTCATTATTCAACTTTACTCGATTTGCACGCTCGTGCATTTCAGGTTGCATGATTAATTCTAATAGTTATAAAGTTTTATGAATAAAATTTGTCCTGTGAAGAAGAAATGAGATGGTAAAAGTTTCAGCAGTATTATTTTAGACTTTCAGTTAATGTCTTTCAATTAGGAAGGGATAAAGAAATATCGTATGTAAAAGTTTTGTAAATTTATCAACATATAAATTTCATACTTTTCTTCTAGTCAAAAGTATAAATATTTCACTGTATTGTAAAAGTCACAAAAGTCATTTTTAAATTGAAGTATTCAATTTAAAAAACATATCTTGCGATTAATTTTAGCGACCAATATCGTTAGCGCTATTAACACCTGTAAAACCGACAGTGGCAATATTTAAGGAATTCATTGAGACAAGTCGACACTTGTTTTTACCATTACTTGTTTGCAATCAGACTTTATTTAAGTTCGTTTTTTTTTCCTCGTTTTTTTAGATGATCATTCAGTGAAAACCTGAAAAACTTTGAAATGTAAAATGTTGATTTCAATTATGTAATAAATTTTGATTTTAGAATCCAGTCGTTTTAGTGTATTTCAGTGTGAAAAGAACAAAAACCTTGTTGAAAAAATAACGCAGTAGTTAATTTTGAAGGTCACACCTTGTTCGATTAGTTAATCTAACTAAAACAATGGAAATTAAAACGCCAGCTGAGAAAAATTTCCTTTCATCACTGTCAAAATATGCTAAGGCTAAAGTTCAATCAGTATCTGATCAGGTATATTTATTTCATTTTAAGCTACATCCGTATAAGCGCTAGCAAAATTTTCTATCTTGGAATATAAGAAATGATATAAAATATTCCTTATTTGTGTTTTGTGTGAAATGAAGAGATTTATAACCAAATTATATTTTCTATAATTCTCATTCTTATCTTCACCGCAACTTTATTTTTTTCTTGAAAATGGTTATAGAAAAAAATAACATAACAGGCGTAAAATTATTCCGATATTATCCCATCAGAAACTGAGTTTTTTATCTATAAATTTTTTAGTATAAAATACATCCTTTCTACTTTTCGTTTTGCTTGAACTACTTTTTTTGTCTTATTTATTTCATTTGAAGCATACTAGTTAGATTTTTTTTTTTTTTGGATAGAGATTAACGAATTTGATCTTTGTCTATCTGTACTAAAGATGAAGTATAAAATGTCTAAACTAAATTCCATTGAACATGTTAATACTTTTTCATCCCACTTCGATTTTTTTTTTTATCTTTCATTTTTACAGGCAAAATGTATGTTGCAACGGTTTGAAAATCATGCCGTGCAGAAGGTTTTATGTAACTCTGTGTACTGTAATGGACATGACTCAGTGAATAATGATATTAAGATTTTGGAGCAATTAATTATGGATCCTCCAGCATCGCTGCAGGAAATGAAATTTCTAACACCATGTGTCAGTTTTTTTATTTAGCAAAATTTTGAAGTTCTATTCAAAAAATATCAGCTATAACTTGTCTAACAAAGTGTTATCTGATAAAAGAAGTTGTATGAAACATTTCTGCTATACATATTGATCTTATCGACTTTCGAGAAGCAGCCTGAACAATTTGAGAAATGAAAAAAAGTGAGGTTGGGAGGAAGAAAGAAAAACGACTGATATATATTTTTAATATGCTCAATAGTTGTAGAAAAGAAATCAATATTGGATAAAAGATTGAATTAATATTCGAATTATATTAAAATATAGGAGTTAGATAGACTTATATTGTATTCGCTAAATTATGAAGCAAATTTTTGTGGAATTTCAGACATATGATGGATTTATTAAGACTCTTCCAAAAATATATGAAAAACTTACCAAAACTACCCAGTCATATGATACGGCAACATTGTTTTGCGCTGAAATGCCAGTGTTAAAATTGAAAGATCGTAACAATCATAATTTATATAACGACAGCAACAATGTTGCAACCATGTTAGTTTGTTCTAAATATAAATATAATTAATTCATGAGTGATATTTCAAGAATAATATTTTTCTATGATTATTTGATCACAGTTCTTAATTGATATTACTTTAGGAACGTTCTGAATAAGAATGATTACACAAGGAATCTGACTACTGTTGTAGAAGGTTTGGATAAGGTAAGACTTTTTATAAAAAATTAACAGGACAGTTTGAGAGATATGGTGTATATTACTTCTTGAGTTCTTTTTGGGATGATTCAATGAATTAGACTTTTAGTGCCAATAAATTACGGAGTAGAAATAAAAATCTGCTAGTGGATAGAATGATAATAATGAATTTAGTATCTTAAATTAATTTTTGGTACTGGTAAACTTAAATTATGGTGTGATAAGAAAGTGATACTTTTCTGCACCAGAATTTTTTTTTTTTTCGAAAAATTTAAGGTGAACTTTTTGTTCTCATCATTTTTTTTTTTTTTTGCAGATTTTATTTGCTCTCTTAAGCGGTGAAAAATTAGCGCTTTGGTCAATAGAGGAAAGGAAGAGTTTGGGTAAAGACTTACTTAAAAAATTGAATTTACTACGGGTTTGTATGCAGAGGCAAAATGCATCATGGAATACAGGACATAAAGGGTAGGATTTGACCTTTATTGAAGCATAACCAATCTATCAAACGTTGAAAATCTTTCGAATCATATCAAAAATTTTGTACCATATGATTGCGACTTCTCATTAAATTTATTGAACAAAAAGAAAAAAAAGAAACAGTAATAGTTCAGTTCAGTTTTTTGCAAAAATAAATTTATAGCCCTGAAAATTGTCAATTGTTTGGTGAAAGTGTTCCACGCAAGACAACCGTAAACGATTCAAAAGATGCAATGCTATGTGTATACGACGTTGAAGGCCGATGGCTTAAGTGTAGGAATTATAGAGGTATATTTTTTTGGAAAATATTTTCTGTAAGTTGATATATTTTATCGTTTTCATTCAATTCTCGTCATAGCTATTGTAAAGTTTAATTCGCTGCTTCTTATTAACTGTTAACATTTTTAGGTAAACTATTAAACTTTTTATCATCTAAACGAAGTGACTCATTTCCTACTGATTATGCGCTGATTCAGTATGTTATGGCACAGTTAACAGATTTGTGCTCAATTGTGTATTTGGCCAAATATACCGATCCAAATGAATTACGAGAATGCCTACAAGTAGAAGAAGATGATTTTAAAATGATTATTAATTTATTAGCTGAAATTGATTTCCTAAAATATGGTTGGATGAAGGAAAAGATCAAAAAAGAGAGAAATTTAGGAATGATCGTTGTTAAAATTTAAGTTCATCTATAATTTGTGTAAATTTGTAAATTCATCACTATTTGCAATGCTGTCGATTTTAAATGCCTTCACTGATCGCTTATGTTAGCTAAACTGTAAATTTAATGTATACAAATAATATACCCTTTTTATTTAAAAGAAAAGAAAATACAACCTTAAGTTTGCTGCTCCAACTTTTTCTTACCGAAAAAAGTTAACATTTCGGGTTCGGGAATACTTTGAATTCAAGAAGAAAAACCGATACAGATAGTATTGATTAAAACTTAAACACACTGCAGTGATTGTAGACGAAAAGAATTTGGAAGAATAATTAAAGAGAGCATTCTGAAAATGTGCCACAGCAATAATCTAAATCCTTTCTTTAGAGGAATGTGAGAGAGAGAGAGAGAGAGAAAAAAAAAAGAAAGATTGTCTCGATGATTTTATTGGAAACAATTTGGATCATTCTGGTCATTGATAACTGTTGATTACTGATTGATTGGTAACTTTTGATCTGACACAATTTTGTCATCCACGATTTTCTCGATTTTTGTTTCTATGTGTGTGTGTATGTGTATTTTATATCATTTTTGATGATATTAAGATCTCGTAATTTACCTTAGCTTTATATTCGTTACAATAATTAAGTGTAAACCAGAACTGAGAACTACACTTATTTATTTTTTACTTTTTAAGAGTTTCATATTTATGAGAATTCATCTTTACAGGAAATATGAAATTCTTAAAAGAAATTTTTAACTCAAAAAATGTGAATACCATTATATTTTATACTTGATCTTGCATCTTATTGTTTAAAATTAAGAAATTCACTAACAATACAAAAAGAAAAAAAAATGAAAAAAAAAGAAGTGATAGTAAGAAGTTTCCATTCACAATAAGAGTTTAATTCAAAATAAATAATTAGTATTCATACAAAGAATTAAATTTATAATTTGGGTTTATGTTATTAGTTAAGTATAAAGTATATATGGGTAGTTCTTGTTACAATCAATTATTAAAAAAATAATTCCGTAACCTGTTGAATTTACCTGATAGCACTTACAATTCATTTCAAAGGATTTTAATTTTACTGATACAGTTTATTTTACTACTTTTTTTCATTTTGTATCATTGCTTCTTCTGTGATATTTTCTGATACATATCAGTTTGGGAAAAAAAAAGCTAAATAAAAAAGCCAATTAAATGTTAAAGAAATATCATATTATTATTTATGTTTATTTTAATTAAATTATTAATTTGTTATAAATATACTAATAGTAATTTATTATGCTCTACCAAAGAAAAAGACAGGGAAAAGCTTCATTGTTAAAAAAAAAATTGTCACCAGCACTGTCATCAATTAACAATAATTGAAAAAATGAAAATAGGAAGGAAGCTAATTATTCTAATTCTTTGCTCATTAAATTATCAGTTCTTCTTTTCCCTCATTTCCTAAAAATTTACTAAAGAAAATTTTGAAGTTTCTTTTCTAGGAAATAAATATAAGGAAATTAACAAGAAAGATTGGTCTTCCTTTTCTCGCTTTGAACAACTTTTTTCTTTTGTTTTAGATTTAGGAAAATAAAAGTTTATATTTAATTCAATAATTTAAGTATAACATTACGATAAGACAGTTTCCCATTCTGTTTCTATTTCCTTGAATTGCCATACCGTTGGTTGACCATAATGGTTTACTTGTATATCTGTTGTAGCCCAGCTGGAAAATTTTTGCTAATTTTTATTGAATAAATTTTATTGCAAAATAACAAATATAATTAATAATGAAAATTGAAACGAAGTAATTATTACATAAATTATAAATACTTTTTCTTATAATATTACCTGAAGACAGGAAGTGGATCATAAGTTGGTCCACTCCATGCTTTAAATCGAAGATTCTTGAATAATTGATAGTTTGTTCCCTGAAAATTATTTCATTTCATTTAAAAATTCCCTCCATAACTATTATTAATTAAATTTTAAATTTGTCAAAAAAAAAAAGAATACACCTAAAATAAGTGAATTATAAGCAGTAAAAAAAAAGACAATAATAATCGCTTCTTTACAAAAAATATAGCAAATAATTTCACATAATTCTTAATATTCTGTATAAAGATAGATATAGAATTTATTCTTAGTGAATTGGATGTAAATTTTATATAAGATAAAATATAGATGGATAAAATTATTTGAATTATAATTAAACTAAAACTATCTTATAATCAATACTGCTTGAATTTCGATGACCCAATTCACAAATTTTATAAGATAAAATATAGACGGATAAAATTATTTAAATTATAATTAAAATAAAATTATTTTATAATCAATACTGCCTGAATTTGGACGAGCCATTTTATTAATTTAAATTTTATATAAGATAAAATATAGATGAATAAAATTATTTAAATTATAATTAAACTAAAACTACCTTATAATCAATACTGCCTGAATTTGGACGAGCCATTTTATCAATTTAAATTTTATATAAGATAAAATATAGATGAATAAAATTATTTAAATTATAATTAAACTAAAACTACCTTATAATCAATACTGCCTGAATTTGGACGAGCCATTTTATTAATTTAAATTTTATATAAGATAAAATATAGATGAATAAAATTATTTAAATTATAATTAAACTAAAACTACCTTATAATCAATACTGCCTGAATTTCGATGGCCCATTTCATTAATTTCATATGTACCATTCGAAGGATTTAAATCACCACGTGTTGATATGCTTGCTTGTGCTGAATATGGTGGAATACATTTACATTTGCTAAATTTTTCATGCTTATAATCATTGTATCTGAAATGAAAAAAAAAAAAATTTTATTTCTTTTAAATTCAAAAATTAAAATTAAAAATTTTTCTTTTTTTAATTTTTAATTATTTCTGATAACAAAAAATTTTGATTTCTTTTTGAGAAATCTCGAAAAGGAGAAAAAAAAAACAATTTTTCTTTTTCACTTTTTAATACCTCATTAATTTTTGTAAACTATTCAAATTGATAACTTTATGATGATCACGATTAAAAATTTTAGCACGTGGTGAGCTTTCCCATTTATACCAATCAAATAATTGTCCTTTTTGCTTGAAACCACTTATTTCACTGATTGTATTAAAATATGGAATATTATAACTTGGCCAATATGTGTAATTCTTTAGAAACCATGTCATATCATGAGCAATCACTAGTCCACTAAAATATATATATATTTTTTTTTCATTAAATACTTTCAAAAAAAAAAAAAAATTAATTATCAAATCAATAAGTAAAAACATGTTGAAGAAGGAATTTTTTCATAATTAAAAAAAAATTTTTTTTTTTCAAAATTGTATATCTTAATTATAAATTTTTGACGAAAAAATAAAGAAAAAAAAAAGGCTAATGTTGAAATTTAAACGAAAAAAAATTATTATTAATATTATTATTAGGTTTAAAATGTTGAATTATCTGTTATTAAAAAATGATAAATTTGAATATATATATATCATAAAATATTTCAAAAATTTGGAAAAAATTACTTTCTAAAATTTTCTAACTCTTTCAACCACCAATTATTAATTAGAGGAAAACATATGATTTGATTTATGTGCTTTGAAGTTATATGTGATATATGATTTAAATCAAACAAATTAAATAAAATATAAATCATAAATTAAAAAGTTAGAAATTTTTGACAAAAAAGGCAAATAAAATGAATGTAAAGTAAATAAAAATATAGAAGCTATGAGAAATTATTATTGGGAAAATTATAATAAATATTATTCATAAAGATTATTGTTAGTAAATGTTTATTTTTTACAAAATTAATTTTTAAAAGAAACGAGAGAGAATAAAATTAAACAATTTTCTTTTCTTTTTTTTTTTTTAAATTAAAATTTTTGAAACAATGCATACGGTGCTTGCTCTAAAACCCATAAAAGATTATTTATTGGAATTTCTTCGTTTGGTTTGAATAATTTATAATCAACTATACTCCATTGATTATTGTAAGTGCCTGAGTTATATCGTGCAAATATTTGCATCCATTGTTTTGCGGTACTAAAATAATGCAAAAAAAAAAAAAGTAAATAAATAAATATTAATTTTTGAATTAATTTAAAAAAACAAATTAAGAATTATTCGCAATAAATGTTTAATCACAGTTTTCTCAACCTTTAAACTATAACGAATATTAAATTTATGTTAAATAATTTCAATTTAATATTAAAATAATTTAAAATAAATTAATATTTTTGATATGGATAATTATGATAAAACTAAAATAAGAATATGAAATTAGGTAAATGGAAAAAAAAGAAAGGATAATAGCATTAATAACAAACTTTGCAAGTTTTGTAGCAATAATACTACGAATCCAACAATGTAACTGTCCATTGGGTTTGATAGCATTATACAATGATCGATTGAATATATTAATTGTCGTTTCAATTATCGCCTAATTATTAAATAAAACAAAATTGAGAAGTAATTAATTAAGTAATTAATTAAGTTTCAAAATTTATGAACAAACTTTATTTTATCATACATAATACATTGCTTTTTTTTTAATGCTATTATATACATGTAATAATCCAGAATAATCAACTCGTTATTATTATACTAAAGTTTTTTTTTCCTAAATCAATAATTTCGATCATTTCTCTAGCAACAATAATAATAATAATAATAATAATAATAATAATAATAATAATAATAATAAATTTAAACAAATAATAAATAAATGAAATGAGCATAAAAATTACCAATCCAGAGGTTGCAAGAATAAAATCATCTAATGAAGTTAGCGAACCAGGATATGATGAAAAAGATGTAGCATAACCAGGTATTTTTTCTTTCTCTATAATAAATAATACTTATACTAGTAGAATTATTCGACTTTTTGTTTAATTAAATGATTAATTAATTAATTAAAGATTTTCTAAATGATTAATTAATTAAAGATTTTCTGATTTCACGAAAAGCTATATTATGAGTTAACACTATGTAATTTTTTATAATACATTGC